GCTATGTAAGATGCAATCCCCACCTTCTGCATATTCATTTATTCTAAAATAGCTCTCTCTTCCCTCCTCTTTTAATTTGCAAATTGCTAGGACGTTGCCTCCTTTGTTATTTATTTATATTTTTTTTCTCCCCGCAATGGTGGCTCACATCCAGCCAAATGTATCGATATGGCACCGTAAGCAGTGAAATAGCAGGGAGGCTGTGTTATTTTCCCCCACGGAATTGCTGGCTAAAAGAAAAGTGAGAGGGGGTTGAGGGAAAAAAACCCACTTTTGCTAAAGACAAAGCATGCACCAGAATAGCAACACAGTTTTTTTGGATGATCCCATTTAATCCATTTTTAGCCTGTAATAAACTAGCAAGGCTGTTAGCAGCTTGGCTGAGGGGAGAAGGGAAAAGAATGTTGCATTCTTGGAGGGGGAAAAAAATCACCAGTTACAAATTATTTTGGGATAAGGAATCCAGAAACTGGATTCTGAACATTTCTTTGTTGGCCTGTTCCAAGGGCAACCTGGACTTCAAGGTGAGCTTCAAAATCAGGTGGTCTTTCCCGCTCTCTCCATTTGGGAATGACAGAAAAAAAAACCTCTCCCTATTCTCGTCCTCCACATCCAAGGTCTAATATTGAATTAAAGATGAAATAAAACAATGAAAGATTCACTTTCTTTGTACCTGGAACTTCCACCTTGGTCCCCTTCATTGTATATAACAGATTAAGCTGGACTACAGGCTCTATGTTGCTTACCACTGTTGGCATATTCCCTTCTAGGCAACGAAAGCAGGTATTGAGTGATGCATGGAGATCAGTGGTTATTGATTATTGGTAATTATTGGTTTGTTGATTATTTCCATTTTTTGCAGGCCTGCAGGGTAGTGATATTTGTTATTGTTGTGTGTATTAGCATCCTGCTGAAATGCTGTAATTTTGCCCCCTCCTCCTGCTGCTTTTCCTCCTCCTCCTCCTCCTCCTCCTCCTTCTTTTCTCCTTCTCCTCCTCCTCCTCCTCCTCCTCCTCCTCATCCTCCTCCTCCTCCTCCTCCTCCTCCTCCTCCTCCTCCTCCTCCTCCTCCTCCTCCTCCTCCTCCTCTTCTTCTTCTTCTTCTTCTTCTTCTTCTTCTTCTTCTTCTTCTTCTTCTTCTTCTTCTTCTCCTCCTCCTCCTCCTCCTCCTCCTCCTCCTCCTCCTTCTATTTCAGGAACAATGTTAATTTTTCCACTGCATTGAAGAACCCTAGATTATTTTTCCTCCTTAAAAAAAACCAATAACTCTTGCTGTGTTGCTGTTGTTGTTGATGATGATTGATAATAATAAGCTACCAACGGAAATGGTTGGTTTCCTTGTTTTTAAAGGTCACTCCTCCATTAGATATGCCACACATTTCTTTGCGAAGTTTAACAGTCTAGTGTGAACCTCAGAAAGAATTGTAGTTCACCGGCCACTTGGTTGGAACGTTTGTTGGTTCCACTGCTCTTGGGAAGATCCTGTGATTGTATGATTAATAACAGATACCAAGGAAGGATTTCTGTCGAGAAAGAAGCTGGCTTTATCACGAGGATCATAGAAAAGCATATTGGATGTTAAGTTGCCATTGTCCCCAAACCCAATGAGGTGATAAAATTAACTTTCTCGTTCACGTTAATCACAGTGGGAACTGGTTAATACATGGATGATCAATGGGGAAGCTGGCTGTGGAATTCTGGGAGTTGAAGTCCACATGCCTTAAAATTGTCAAGGTTGAGTGCCTTAGATTATAGGTTAGAATTGTTTTGAAACTTCAAGTTTAGGAGACCAGCCACTTCGTGGTGTCCTATGGGAGCTGTCTGAGGTCCTGAAAGACACCCACCTAATACAATGAGTGAGGAACAAACTTTTGGGGTAAAACAAGAGAGAGGAAGGTATGAGTGGCATGACACAATAGCATCATGCAAGTGTGCATCTCATTGCATAGCACCATAAGCCCCTCAAAGCCACCTCGATGTCCCCCCCCCATTTGCCAAAACAACTGAAGGGCATCTGAACAATAGCTGATAGGAAAGGTTCATTCCCCATATTCTATTCCACAGAATAGATACCAACGGCAAGAGGCAGGCTGCCAAAGTAGAATAAAACAGTAAAACAGTATTTTGAGGACAATAAGTGATAAATAATATTGCCACAAAATCACATAACAAAACCACAAGAGGCAGCAAAAACGTCTAAACAACAGCAGGAGAATAGTCTCTTGTTCCATTCATTTTTTTGTTGTTGTTGTTGTTCCAGTAATTCCCTCTGCCCTTTGTTTCACTCATTTTGAATTCTGGCTTTTATTGGGATAATTTGTAGCCTTAATTCCAATATTGGAGTAAGCACAATAGGAGCTCAGATTTACACACACACACCCAAACTCACTGTTTAGGGAGTGCCTCAGTGTCACACCCATTTGGTTAACTCTGATTCAGTTTTTTACAACATCATTACTTAAAATCAGGATTGTCTTGGATGAATCTTAAAGCTTTTGGCTGTCTTGGTGAGCTTTTACAATCCCAACATTGCTCCAGAAGTAAAATGCTCAACTTGATTCGCTGTTAATTCAACAAGAACAGAGAGGGGTAAACATGAATACGGAAAGGTATTTAAGGAACATTTCAAGGAGTCAGTGATGTTCAGTACAATCCCTTAAGTCAGAGACCAAGATGACAAGCTTCCCAATGGCTATTTGATAAACTGTTGACAGAAACCATAGAAAATGGTTAATGGATAAGATATATAAGAATATGATTTTTTAATTTATCTTTATTAATTGAAGTCACCTCTGTAGATTGTTTGGTTTGGTTTTGTATTGCTGCCCAGGGTCACTTTGTCAAATACATTTGATCGATAAATAGATAGATACACTTTCAGACTGAATATTGAATAGTCCAAGAATGTCGGAAAAATAAATCAAGCTTTCCTTCATTAAAGGTTTTTAGGAAGAGCCTAGACTGGTCTTTATGCAATCACTCAAGCTTGAGGCATTCTTTGCTGAGCAGAAGTTGGACTAGATAGACTTCAGAGTCTCTTCTTTGGCTCTATAATCTTCATCAATTTCTAAAGGTGTCCTTCAAGTTGAGTCCTGGCATCCTTATCCACGTGCATCCATGTCATTTCCTTGGAGTAGCATGATAGTACTTCCTGAAGATCTTTTGCTTTCCCAATGTAGTCTACAGTCTTGGGATCTATGAGCTGTGGTGGCGCAGTGGTTAGAATGCAGTACTGCAGGCTACGTCTGCTGACTGCCGGCTGCCAGCAGTTCGATTCCCACTGGCTCCAGGTTGACTCAGCCTTCCATCCTTACGAGGTCGGTAAAATGAGGACCCAGATTGTCTAATTTCTATTTCTATTGCTATATCTATATGTCCATCTCTGTCTGTCCATCCACCTATATCTTATCTAATCTATCCATCCATCCATCCATCTATGTATCTATCTATGAGCCATGGTAGTGAAGAGGTTAGAATGCAGTATTGCAGGCTAACTCTGCTCACTGCCAGGAGTTCGATCCTGACCAGCTCAAGGTTGACTCAGCCTTCCATCCTTTTGAGATCGGCAAAATGAGGGCCCAGATTGTTAAGGGAGGGGGGGGCAATATGCTGACTCTGTAATCTGCTTAGAGCAGGCTGTAAAACACTATGAAGCAGTATATAAGTCTAAGTGCTATTTCTATTGCTCTATCTATCTATCTATCTATCTATCTATCTATCTATCTCATCCATCATTTATATCTATCTATATCTCTTATCTATCATCCATCTCTCTCTATATATATATCTCATCTATCATCTATATCTATCTATATCTATCTATATCATCTATCTATCTATTTATCTATCTATCATCCATCCATCCATGAGCTGTGGTGGCCTAGTGGTTAGAATGCCGCACTGCAGGCTAACTCTGCCCATGCCTGGAGTTCAATCCTGACCAGCTCAAGGTTGACTCAGCCTTCCATTCTTTTCAGGTCAGTTGGGGTCCATAGGCTGAATCGGTGAACCGCTTGGAGTGGGCTGTAAAGCACTGTGAAGTGGTATATAAGTGCTATTGCTATTGCTCTCCTCCTCTCATCTCCCAGCCCTCTACTAACCTGGGCAGAGTCAACCAGGTATTGCTGTACCCCGTTACCTCTCCTGCTCTGCTTTATCCCTCTTGGAAGCTGGACCATCTGGAACAGAGAACGACTCCTTTTCCCAGCGTCTTTGGAAACAGGGAAGGATGTTGCTGCTGAGAGAGAGAGAGAGAGAGAGAGAGAGAGAGAGAGAGAGAGAGAGAGAGAGAGAGAGAGAGAGAGAGAGAGAGATTTCTCTTCCCCTCCAAAAAAAGAAAGGAAGAGAAGAATTGGGAAACAACCACTTCCAGCAGCGACAAGGATGGCGACGGTTGGAAGATAATCGATTCTAGAATGTAGAAGAGAGGGGGAAAAAACCCCTCAGGCAGGAAACGGAGAGGAGCTGGACGGAGGCGCAGGATCGCGGGGGAAAGAGGAGCTGGTGGCAGGAAGAGGGCGAGGAAGAGTTAAGAGATGGAGCATAGAGCTAAGAGGGACCCTTTCTCCAACTGGCCGCCTCCCCTCTCCTCAGCCGGAGGGCGCCAGTTGGAGGAAGGGAAGGGTTACTGCATGAGAATGGGAAGGCTTGAGAAGCTCCCTCGCTCTCCGCTTCCCATCCGCCGGACTGTCGACCCCCCTCTTCCCCTTCACCCCCTTCTCCAAAGGAAGCCCCATGCGCCCCTCTCCCGGTTCTCGACGCCCTCGCTGCCCCGACCCAGTTCTGCTTTCCAACGGGGAACACTCCCCACCTCTCCCCCATCTCCGCCTCTCGCCCCCCCCCGCCTCCCCATTCCTTCCCGGAGCCCCGCCCCCTCCGGACGCCCCTCCCCTCCCTCCGGCGGGCTCCTTCCCCCCATCGCTTTGCCTCTCCTTGCGATCGCCTGGATCCCTCCCCCCGCCGCATCTTTCTTTTTCTTTCTCTCTCTCTTTCTCTCCCTCTCTCTCTCCCCCCCACCCCACTTCCCTTCTCCGCCCCCGTCTTCTCCAGCTCGGCTTGTGCGCCTTTCCTTTCGCCCCCGGTGGCTGCGAGCTGATCCATCGTAGGAAGGCAGGAAGAGGAGGAGGAGGAGGGGAAGAGGAGGAAGAAGAAGAAGACCCGCCGAGAAGAGGACCCTTTTTAAATATATCTATATATATATATATATCTATATATATAAGGCGATCGCAGCGAGCATCTCGGTTCTCCTGAATTTGATTGTATTTTTTGAAGAAGCAGAGCGCGAGGGATTCTATCGGGTTTCTTGGTCTCCGTCTCCACCAGAGAGGAGAGACAGAGAGAGAGAGAGAGAAAGAAGAGGGGGGGGGGTGTCTTCTCTTCCTTTTTGAATGCCTGCCCCCCGGAGCAAGGCGCGGGTGTCCTCCGACCGAGCATGAAAAGGACTGCCGGCACCCCAGCCACCCGACGCCTGCAGCGGTCGCCCGGCGCCCACTATGCGCTCTGGATCGAGGGGGGCTCAGCTTCGCACAAGTTCTGCCTCCCCGAGCGCATGAGAAGCCTCGGCGGTCCTCACATCCCCGTCAAAGAGGAGCGTTAACCCCCCCCTCCCCCGGTAAGAAAGACTTATTTCCCCCCCCCCCCCAAAAAGCCGTCGCGATTGTGGATGTGACCGGTGCTTCTTTTAGGCTGGGCTGGGCAGGGGTCCCCGGTTTGTCTGTTCCAAGGTTCCCTCTGCGCCCCCCTCCCACCTCCCGCCCGGCTTCACTCCCTCTCGGGGGGGGGTCTCCCGCGGTCTTCTCTGCCTCCCCACCCCGGCTTCAGCCTTTCTCCAACTGCCTTATGTGTCTCTTCACACCCCCCCCCCCTTACACCTCGCCAAATTGATTCTTTCCAGCTCCGGTCCAAACCCTCTCCGGGGCTGTGGTCCTCCCAAGGGTTAAGTCGTGGCTGAGTGTGCACAATCCCAGTGTGGGTCTGTGGGTGCCGGTTCCCTCTTGGGCAGAGGAAAACGTGCCTTCTTGCTCTTTCCCCCCCCTCCGCCTCTCCCCCCCCCGCACCAGTTTTTCTCCAACTACCCTGCAGGTTCTTTTGCCGCACTCCGCTCTTCCTAGCCAGCCAAGGGTTAAGCGGTTTCTCGGCGGGTCTGTGTGTGTGTGTGTGTGTGTGTGTGTGCGCGCGCGCTTGCACACTCTCCAAGTGTGGAGGCTACACGGGTCTGCCTGTGCCCATGCGTGCTTGCCCTCTCTTCGGGGACCAATCTGATTCGTATGGACGACGGAACAAGGGGAAGCAGAGGTTACATGCAGAGGGGTGCAGGGAAGAGGCATCCAGATTGCTCCTTTCTCCCCCTCCCTCCCTCCCGCAGGATGGGGAAGAGGGGCATTGGTGTCCATCCTGTCCTGGGAGCGCCAGGTTGGGGCTGTTGGAATCCGTGGACCTGCCTACCCGTGGCGGATTCAATTAGGTTAAGGTCTCCACTGATTCACTCCTTTCCAAGGAGAGGAAAGGGGAGAAGATGGGTGTATTTGCTGGTGGGGTGTGGGTGGGGTGCATGTGTGTGTGCGCGCGCGCGTGTGAGAGAGAGAGAGAGAGAGAGAGAGGGAGGGAGGGGGCATCCATGTGTGTGCTGCAATACAACTCACCCCTGCACACAGTCATGCTAAGGTGGGCCTTCACGCCAAGAACGCCACCTCCTTCTCCTTCTCAAAGTCCTGACTCACAGGCTGGGGAGAAGACGATTCCCCACGCTCCGACCTTGGTTCCTCCGTACAACACCTCCTTGATTTTTTTCAGAATAGCAGCCCGTAAGGCTGTTTTGGTTCAATCTCTAGATTTTCAGATTCCTCAGAGGGGGAAAGGAGGGTTACCTCTGCCCCCCCCCAATAGGACCGTGGTGGATCCTCAAAAGCCACTCTGTCATGAAGCTATGGAGCTGCTCTTAACTGGAGGATGGGGAGGGCCACCCTTCCCATGGACAACAAGACCCATCTCAAGGGAGCTTCTAGGAAAGGGGGGCCACCTCAGGAGATGGAAGGAGAACTCAACTTTATTTTGTTGGTCCTCTTGGTGGTGGTGGTGGTGGTGGTGGTGGGAACAAGAAATTGAAGGAAAAGGGAAGAAGAAGCCGTAAAATGAAGGCGAGTGCAGTTTGGGGGTGCTATGAGAAGAAGGCTATTGAGAAGAGGTCAAAAGACCCCCCCCCAGATTTCCCCCCCCCCATGGTTGGTAGCTGGAAGGGAAAAGCCCTCCAAAGGGGAGGAAAATCTTTTCCTGGAATTGCAGAGAAGGGGAAGATAGCATGTAGAGGAGAAGACCATGTAGAGGTACAAGGATTGAACTGGTGGGAATTCTCAAATTCCCCTACTGCTTTCCTCCAGTGCACAACTCTAGTGTGTAGGCACACACATGTGATCCAGACACTCGCTTTGCCAATTGTGGTGTTGATCTGCCAGCAGCCACTGCGCTGCACTACTCAGCTCCTTGCACACGCCTGCAGGCGCACACATACACACACACACAAGTATTCACAGAGCAGCCCTTACTATCTCCTGCTGCATACAAAGTGCTGGTTGTCTCTTTTCATAGCCCACAGTTGTGCTCTTGCTCTCTCTCTCCCCCTGTCCTTCTCTCTCTCTCCCTCTCCCTCCCTCCCTCTCTCTTTCTCTGTCTCTGATACACACTGACACACACACACACAGTTGGCGAGCTTACTCATGTGGTCACAGGGATGCCTGCCACGATTGTTTCCCAGCCTCTGTTGTGTTTGTATTGATTTGGGCTCTGGAGATGCATATATTGCTGGTTGTTTGCTAGATGTAAGGATGTGGACTCAGAAGGTCTTTTATATTATATTCTCTATTTCTGCCTCTCCTTTACGTATGGGCTAATTCTATTTCTGGACCGCTGTTGCTTGGGCAGATAGTCAAGATCTGCTAATACAAAGTTTGCTTGTCTTTTTCTCCACTTTCCATCCGCCTCCTAAACCTTCACCTGCCGTGAAGGACACCTTTCCATATTGGTGTGTTCATGAATCCCACTAATTCTTCATCCTCACGCTCAGAAGCCCAGTGGTACATTTGTGGTTGTATGACAACCTTCCCTTCTCCCCCTTGCACGGGGGAGTCTCTCACGCTGGAAGGCTGCACACCCCACAATCCACCCAGGCTCAAACTTGGTTAGCCTGCCTTCCCAAACACGCAAGCACACAAGACTTTGGTTAGAGGAAGCTGCAGGAGAATGATCAGTCCGTTCAAAGCTGTGTGAGAGTCAGAATAAATGGGACGCAAATGTGCACCTGGAGAAAGCTTCTAGTTTCTCGTTGGATGAGGTATCCTTTCCTTCTCCACGTTCCTCCAGCTGTGAGCACAACATGTCAGCGGAAATTTTCATCCATGCTTCCCCTCAGACTTTGGAGCTGGTCAGGTCCTCTTTATTGGTATAACCCCAACAGCTGAGATCCGACTGGGTGTTTGGGTTGCATTTTGTCTTCCTGAGAAAAAGACAAAGTCAGGGATGTCTTTTTATGGCCATTGATGCAGTGTGAGGGAAGATCTTTGCTTCTATCCGGCGTGGGAGCTCTGAACAACTCAGCAGAAAAGGCTGCACGTACATTCTCTTGTCTGCTCCCCTCTGCTCTTCACCGTCCTCTGCCTGTTCTCAGAACTTGCTACAGGGAGGTGAGAGCCCAATCCAGGAGACCAGGAGAAGCTGCAGAAGCAGGAAAAGGGGGCATTTGAAGTCCCTCCAGATGTGTGCCAGAGTTGGAAGCCACAAGACCTGGGAGAAAACAGCTCAGAGATGGCAAAGGGAAGACGGAGGAGGAAGTAGAAGAACCCTGGTGTAGCATTTCTTGAGCGTGACAGGGAAGCGTGTTGCTGGCCAGAGGGCTTTGCTTTGCACCTTTTGCCATGAAGGTTGTGTGTTTGCATGTGTGTGTCTGTATGTCTGTGTGCAGCGGGCTAAGCTGCCTGCCTGCCTGCCTGCCTGCCTGCTCATTTCACATTCTGGAGATGTGATCTCTGAAGCTGCTTTTTTTTTTTTTTTTTTTAAGTTGGTTCCTAAAGCAGAGTAAGAGCAGACTCTGTTTTTTAACAGAGCCGGGGAGAAATCAACATAACTCCAGCATGATTGAGGAAGAAAAAAAAAAAAAGAGTGTGGGAATACAGCAAGAAAGCCGAGATTTGAACGGGTTCCAGAAAGGGATTAAGGCGGTGCAAAAGGATCACATTCTCTGTTTTTATTCTATATATGTGTGTAGAGGAGCAACGTTGCTAGTTTTCCTTCTTAAGGCAGCCTCAGGGGGAGGAGGGAGAGATGGGGCTTGTCTCCTACAAGCCTACATGGGTTTGTGTGTCAGTTTGCTCACGAGGTTGGTGTATGTACACTCGCAAGCACCCCTATGTGTGCGTCTCCACCCTGTATACCAATTCCTCTGGAACATTTGATTCAAGTCATACCTGGGGGAGGGGTGGAATAAAATATACTCTTTTGGGGGGGGATTTCTTAGCTATGGGACTGGGGGAGATGGTTGACACCTATTTATAGCAGAGATTTAACTCTTCCTGCTTTCTTGGGGCCTGCTTCAGTGGCAGAGCAATTGGTTTCAAAGGCAAGACCCCCCCCCAGGCTTTTAAAAATGTTGCCTTGCAAAGGAATATCTATGCTAAATAAATGCCCCCCCATCTCCAAATATACATACATACATACATAAACATACATACATACATATACATATACTGTACATACACATACACACACACACCCTTAAGGCCATCTCTTAAATCTTGCTTCTAAAACCCAATTTACACAAACACACATACGCACACACGCACACACACACACACTTAAGGCCTTCTTGCTTCTAAAACCCAATTTACACACACACACACACACACACACTTAAGGCCTTCTTTTAAATCTTGCTTCTAAAACCCAATTTACACACACACACACACACACACACACACACACACACACACACACAACCTTAAGGCCTTCTCTTAAATCTTGCTTCTAAAACCCAATTTCCAAGCAGTCTGCATTCCGTATTATGGAATGGTTGGCAATGGACAAATTCGTGGGTGTTTTTTTTTGTTGTTGTTGTTTTTGATTTTTTTTTTTTAAATTGGGTTAGTTGCCCCATTTGCAGGTGTTTGGGATTCTCCCTGGGAGTTGGGAAGGAAGCTAGCTTAATTTGAGGGGAGCCCTTCCCATCTGTGGGAACAACTGTGCGGCGTTCGCGCACAATATGTCTCCCTGTTGTTTCCTTCTCACTTGTTCCTCAAAAGTCTGTGCTGCTCACAGCACGAAGGGTGCAGAATTGCTGGGATTGGTGCAAAGTGGGAAGGAAGGGAGGGAGGGAGGGAGGAAGGGAGGGAGGAAGGAAGGAAGGAAGGGGAGGAGAGGGGAGAAAGGAAGGAGGAAGAAAGGAGGGATGGAGGAAGGAAGGAAAGAAAGAGGGGAGGGGAGAAAGGAAGGAAGGAAGGAGGAAAAAAGAAGAAGGAGGAAGGAAGTAGAGGAGAGAAAGGAAGAAAGGTAGAAAAAGAAAGGAAAGGAAAGAAAGACTGTTCTTAAAACGATTCAACAAAGGGAGAATTAGGCCAGATCAGGGGG